GCTACTCGCGGTCAGAAATCAGCGCATTGGAAATGAATGAACGAGTGTCCTCTAGTGGAAGCGTTTGGTACTGCAGCCGAACACACTCTCACTGAACGCTCATTTACTGAGTTCAAGATCACATTTTTAACTTGTTTATAGCTTTGATTTTCTGGCAGTTTTAGAGTAAATCGTGATTTTGAAAATATATGTCATATAAAATTTTTATATGTCATATAAAATTTTTATATGTCATATACAAATTTAAAATAGTATTTTGTGCATTTTTCATAAAAATACACGTGAAATTCTGTTACTTAAAATAACACTCTGCCAAGTGTCGACTTTGAGAAGAGATCAAACTTAAGTTTGTTGCTCTAAAGCATTCAAGATTTACCACAGTTTAAATTGGAAAATAAATGTTCAGGTCTATGCTTTAAATAATTCAGTGAATAAATGTATCATGAATACATCGTAAATATATTTTAGTATAAAAAATCCCCTAAAAATACAAAATATAAAACTAAAATGCAGTACATTCATTTCATTAACAAAAGAAGAAATAAAAGTCTGTGATGTTTGCCGGCGTGTGAAGAGAACGAGAGGGTTCAGGCTAACACCGCTGCTCTTCCTCCTCCTGGAGTCCTGCGTGGCTCCAGCGGGGGGTTGTGGAGCTCATATACCGTGACGAATGGATTTAAACCGTCGGCTCTGTAGAAGAAAGAGTGACATGGTTTGTGTCTGCAGAGCGATGTCAGAGAGTGTTATGAGAAGGAGACGATGTGCTTTTGATCGCTTCAGATCCACACAGGCAGAGAAGACAATGCCAGACCTCCTTCATGTAGCAGAACAATGGATGTGCTAGAGAAGACACACTGTCGAGTCAGCTTTTACATTTTACATTACATTATCAAGAATATAACAACTGCATTTGATCAACTTTTTAAGCCATTTCAAGTACAAGTTAAGTGATGATCTACTGGAACTTCACCAGTCTAAATAGACCAGATTGAATAAATTATACACAGTCAAACCAAACATTATTCAGACACCAGATATCATGTTTGATATTATTTCACTAGTGTGTGCAGGACACTATTGTTTTATATAAGTGAGGAGAGCAAAATAAAGTAAACTGTGACATATTATACCCAGAAATGCTTCACACAGTGACTGTCAGTAAAATATGTACAAATTATTACTGAGACACTCTGAGCTGATCATGTTTTCTTCAGTGTGTTTTCTGTAATTGCTAATGCTCTTTCCACACACAGACACACACTAAACAACATTCACATTGCTTGGTCACTGGTTGATCTAAACTGGTATTATCTAATTGTGTAGTTCAATTTACCAGCTGACAGATATTCAACATAATTAATGTGCGAGTCCGTCGAGCAGAAGGACGGACAAAACCAGTCAAATAACAGTCATGTTTTATCACCATTTTCTAAACTGTAGTGAATAAACTGAGATAATGTGAGATTTTTGTTACAAATGAAATCCTGTATTCTGCACTTCAACAGTTGAGTGGTAGAATATGCGAACGCTCACCACTGAATCTCTCTAATAGTGTAGATGTTTAGACTTGCGATTAAATCTACGAGTGTTTGTGTGAGTGTGAGGGCCGACTGCAGTGTGAACGCTCGACGTGATTCCTGAAGTCCACAGGAGGGGCGAGACCTTCGCTCTTAGACAGGAGCAGAATAGCTGATCCGTCGTGGACTGATGCATGTGTACGCTCCCGCAGCGAACAATCAGACGATCAGAGATCGGCCTGGCTTTTCTCCCAGAAGCCCTGCTTTCTGTCCGCATCTGCCGGCCAGGCTCTCGTCTGGATTAAACCCACCGCCAGGCCGTAAACAAATGCAAATAACCTTGGCTCGGACGATGTTTTCTGCTTGTTTGCTTTATTCCCGTCCTTCCTCTCGGCCTTTGATGCCGTTTCACGCTCTCTCCTCGGCAGAACACAGATACGGTTTCCACATCCCTGCTATCTGATGTTATGCTGCGCTCTGCATGACTTTCTGTTCATCACCAATTTGTTTTTACTACTCGAGTAACACTGTTGATATTTCCTACCTATTTGTAATTATTACTGAAGATGTTTATGCATTCATATAGGCCTAAAGCATTTATTTCTCAATTCATTTGATTAACTTGTTACACTGGTCACATCCTGCATTCAGTCTTCTGAAAGATTCACTCACTACTGAAGACATTTGAAAAAAAAAATATATATATATATATATATATATATATATAGGGGTGTCTAAATTGCCTGTGCGAGCACTCTCTCCACAGTACAGCACAATTTAAACACACCGAAAAACAAGCAAAAAATGTATATACAGAATTAAATTGGAACAAAATGTACCTTTCTAATAAATAAAAATACACAACGAAAGTCAGAACCGAGTCACGAGGTGCAGGACAACATCTATTCAAAAACACAAGCCACAAATAGTCCAATTACATAACCCTGATGATCAATAAATGAAAATAAAAACAAAGAAATTATTGCAGAGACAACAATAAACGCTTTGTTGAGTCTTCAGCTAAACGTGTTCACAGCATCCACAAATCAAATTACAGCCGGCTGAAATGTTTAGAAATCACCCGTTCCCTAAAAAAAAAGCCTTCGTTTGAGTGTTTTCAAATACATGTAGTGATAAATAGCATTGGTTAAACACTTTGGCATTTTATTGATGGCACTTCGGTCATGGACTTTTACTGGAATCACTAGCTGAAATAATCTTCGAGCCAAATTAAAATATTGGTGATATTTTGTCGACTATTTATGACTCTGTTTGGGAGCCATTCAACATTTAACTGGGAACCTGAATTTGAATGTAATTTGAATTGGGAAGAAGAAGGAAAGGAAACAACGGACCCCATTTCTCTGGATCATCTTTGAGATGTTTCTAGACTTTCTGTGGCGTGTTCGATTGAATAGATATGATGTATAGAAGCACATCTGTGTGTGTGGGGGAACTGAAACGGCGTCTCAGGGTTGTGTCGAGCTCAAGAGCACAGCGGAGGTCTGGCACTGGCGGGAACAGCGGGAGAAGACACTTCAGGAGCTAATGCAGAACAATTCAGATTCATATCGTTGATCAAAGTGAAGTTTTACTACTTACTTAATGAATACAATACTCCAAAAACAAGTGTTCGAAATGCTACACATGTAATATATCATTAATAAATTAACGGACAGGGTGTGTATTATTATGTGGTTATAGTTCAAATCACTAAAATTATAATCACGTTTATAGGCGTTAATAGTTTTGATCATGTTGAACCTGATTTATATCATTGCAAATTTGTTCTTAATTTGCTTGGTTAAAGCAAAATTTAAATTGATTTTGGAAAAATTAATGTAATGTTTCATCACAAAAAACAGCTTGTGGGGAATGGCCAATTCAGTTCAAATTCAAACTCATGAACTGCAGTAAATAAAAATAAAATCCCAATGCTAGATTAGGGGGAAATACACTCATTTCGATTCTGGCTTTCGATGTGTAACATTAAAATTCTTGAATATTTGTTTATCACTTTTATTTGGTCAAGTGTGTGGTGGATCTTGATGGACTGAATTCAGACGTTTGTAATTTGCAAGCTTTTCTGCTGGATGATTTCTCACTTCTCTGTGTTCGCTGCGACTGTCTAAAGAACTCTTTTTCTTTCGGCACATGGGCAGTTCTCAGGTCAGCTAGCCTGAGCAGACACACATGATGTGAGTGTTTGCACAAACATGCCTCCATTTCTCCTGAGTTCAATACACACACTTACAGCATGTTTTGTGTGGATGCTTTTCGCCGTTGCATCTGGCATTCATTTACAATAATGGCTCTTTTTGTGTTTGTGCAAGAGGCTCTTTGGCCGCCTTTTAACATTCTTTCTCTCTGTGCTGTACGGTTACGGACATCAGTTTATTGAAGGCTTTGTTTGAACAGTCTCTGTTTAGTGACATGCATCTTTACTCTTTCAAAGAGGACCTATAATGCCCAAGTCTTGATTTCGTTTTTTGTAGTTTTCCTGCTTGAATGTTGATTATTTTCCTCATATCCTCCATTGTTGCGGCTCCTCTCTTCCCAGTCTGTCAGTAACGCTCTGTTTACTTCCTGTCTCTATGAAGCCCCTCCTTCTGCTCTGATTGGTCGGCTGGAGCAGTGTGTTGTGATTGGTCGAGCGCTTCTGGCGCGTTAGGGAAATGTCCCGTCCGTTTCCATAACCACCAGTTTCAAACATAGACTGTATATATAAATGGACGCCACCCGTATGTTTCTGAAGAGCGTTTTTGAAGCCCTAAAAGGGCGGAGCTGGCCGTCGCCATCTTGGCCGCGTGTCACTCCAGGATAACTGAAACTGTGCAGCGAGGTTGATTAACGAGAAACGGCTAGTAGTGACATAAGCGGCAATCCACCTGCCGCGCCCTTAATTATGTACAACTTTAAAGCTTAATATAATTTAAACGAGTTATAAAAACAAATTACCCCCCTCACAGTCGCCATGAAGGGAAACATTTAGACCAAAACCACTTTTTGCACCAGACTGTAAAGTTCTATGGGATTGAGTCTCTTTTGGAGCCGCCTCTAGTGGCCAGTCGATGAACTGCAGTTTAAATTACTTTTGTATTGGTTTCAAGAGAGACCGGGAGGGTTCCCGCTTGTTTTCAACACACTACAAACTAACTCAACCAGGCCCCGCCCATTCTGCGTATTAATTATTATAATGAGGAATATTGTGACGTGTTCGTTCCTGGAAGAACCTCAAGACTACAATGGAGGCGTTTCAGGAGTTCAGAAACACTGACACTGATGGACCTTTGCTGCGCTTGTTCATGATTAAACCGCAATATTACACACGAAAGAGAAACATGCATAATAGGTCCTCTTTGATGTATCATTGTGTTATTTTTAGTTGCATTTGGCATGTAGTGAATGTGATGACAAATATCATGTCCTTAATAGTAACACCATGTGTGTTGATTTGACTGAGTGTTTCGTTTGTCGTTCCAGGCCAGCCCTCGCTGACCAACAGCCGTGATGTCAGCACCATGGACACACTCCCTCTGAGCGACAACTTCACCAGCAGTTACTCCCGGCGGGAGGACGACTACGAGGACCCCGCGCTGAGCTGCCCGACCGCATGCCTGGACGACGCCGCCCTGGAGAAGATGATCATCTCCGAGCTGGTCCACAACAACCTGAGGCCTCGCAGGCTCCCGCAAAACCAAACCAGCTCGAAAGGCCAACCCCGAGATCCGGTTCCGCAGGACACCGGCGTGAGCGGAGGCGGGGGTGTCGGGAACACCAGTGAGGTTGAGGTCACAGGCGCTGATGCCGACGCCGACACCCCCGCTCTCCCGGCGTCCGCCAGCCAAACGCTTGAGCTCCTCCTCCTCCACCCGAGCGACCGGGACGCCCTCGACGCCCCGCTCCTGCCCCAGCGGACTCACTCCCTCCTTTACTGCGCCCAGAAGCGGCCCGTCCGGCCTCAGAAGGACAGCAGAGAGTCTGAAGGAGACGAGGAAGAGGACGAGCGAAGGGAGGAAGACGACGCGCCCTCGCCGAATCACAGGGACTCGCTGTACACAAGCATGCCTGATCTCAGAGACTCTCCGTCGTCCTCGGCCTCTGAATCCCCGGACCTCGTCAGCGGACGGGACGACGGCTGCCCCGCTCAAAGTGAGCTCGAGGAACACTGTTACAAGAGCTTACCTGACCTGGGAGACGGGACTCGGGCGCTGTCCTACTATCAGATCAGCCGAGGAGGCGCTAGCGAGGGCTGTGGCGAACCCGCGAGCGATGGACAGATGCAGCTAATCACCAGCCTCTGAGACAAGATCATCCCTGTTCCTCTCGTTCAGGGGTGTGTTTCCCGAAAGCAGCGTTAGCCAACTGTGCTCGCAAGTCCTGTCGTTATCAGCAGTTCGACGAGTCGTGTTTCCCGAAACCATCGTTCCAACAAATATTCGCAAACAGCATCGCTGAGCTGCGGTTAGAACAGTTTCTTGTTTTCATAAATCCTTATCTTGAGCAAAACAAGCAAGCTGACATTCAGGACAATCTGTGTCTTTATTTAGAATACCAACATGACATCATGACTTTTGCGTAAACATATACGCCACTTTCAAGGTGGCGTGTCATCTCTACACATTTTGAGCTATCCGCGTGTGTCCGCGTGTATGCGTAAATGTCTACGCCATTAACGTCCGCGTCATTCCGCGTGTACACGCAGTCAAATCTCCAGTCATAAATGCCATTAACCCCAGTGATGGTTAAGTTTAGGGACGGGGTTGAGGTAAGTCATATATTTATATAACGTTAAGTCAACGGCGTTCATAAACACGCTGAAAGGCGATTATGCGTCTTGATAGCACGCCAAAAATGGAAATACGAATTGGCGTGTCATACACACGCTACTTCATGAGATCAGTCTGAGAATACATACAAATAACATTTATGTCTTTTAGTTTGTCAAGAGATTTAAAGCGTGGTTTTTGAAGAGTGAACGTGCTCTATTGCGCAAGTCCTCCGATGCCATGTTCGTAATTTATAGCAAAACATCCGGCGTTAACTCGTTCTCAAACAGTTTCATTAAACAGTTGTTATCTCCACCACATCATTAACCAACGTGGTTGAACGACTAATTTGCATCAATATGGTTTCGGGAAACAGTCATGACTAGCAACTTCCTAAGCGATGGGAATGAAGCGCGAGTTACGGCAGGACACACACCCCTGTCGGTCACACTCTAACGACAGGAAGAGAGGACTCGTTAACGGCACAATGACTTTCTCAGTTGTGTTTTTTTTTTTGTACCAGAACTGATGGTCTGGTCAAACTCAAATGGAAAGTGTCAAGACTGGCATCGTCTACGTCTGCCAAAAGCTTTGTACAGTATCATGTAAAAAAAAAAAAGAAGAAGAAGAAACATGCCGATGTCTGATTTTTGTAGGACTTTGAAAACTCTTCTGATCAGTTTGCAGGGGAATCTTCCCTTCTCGGAAATGCAGAATGAACGGAGAGATCCAGAAAATTAAAAGAATTGATAACCCAGACTCAGGCCTTATATTTTCTCTATTGCACAAAGAACTGTTGTACGAATGACAACTAAAGAAAATATATTTTGCAGTACCAAGTGTAAAAGAAAGACCCATAATCACCACATCTCCACTTGTGACTGATGTGTTCAGTTATGGAAATTGTATTTTGCCGACATGTATGTACAAAAAAAGAAGCTTCCTTATTTTTTTAGCTTAACGGAAGCTGTGTCTTGCACAAATTTGGACTGAATTAGACTAATATGTAATTTCTTTTACTTAAAAAAAAAAATGCTTTGACTTTGACAGGGATCATAACATTCATGTGTCAACGCGATGTTTTAAGAACAACATATCTCATTATTTGGCACTAAATAATTTATTGTATGGAAATGGAAAGGGTTGGAAGTAGGTGTGATGAAACACTGTTGATATTCACTTCAGTCTTTTCTAAGAGCCCATTGCAGATGTACATTCAACTGTTGTTTGATATTGAATAAATGTGAGAATTTTTTCTTGTTTGCAGATGTGTCATTCTCATTCAGTGCGGCGTTACACTTGCAAAATGATTTTGTTAGAAGTGTGACAAATGGAAAAAAAACAACTAAGATCTCTGCGGAAATTGAACGATTACTTATTTGCAAGTTTTGTATTGTTTTATGGATGCGCAATATATCGGCCACCATATCGGTATCGGCTGATATAGGTTCATTTGTAATGTTATCGGCCCGATAAGAACATTTGGCCGATATATTAAAGCCAATAAATAATGGATTATGGAGGTACTTCAGCTGCGTACTGCTCGCTATGATGGTTTTGAATTACTTGAAATATGATAGAAATTGCTTTTTTTTAAAAAAGGAAAATACAGTTCAGCTCAAGTAATATCAGCTACATTCATACAAAAAAAGCTGAGAAAATCTCGTTTTTGTCAAAAATCATGTGGATGGCATTCAGAACAATGATCAACACCGCATTTGTGAAAGATTTGAGTTGTGCAGTTGTTGAGTGTGTGCAAAATGCAGCCGAATGCAGAACACCTGAGCCTTGAGTAACAACTTCTTAAGTACGTGTGTGCTTCCTCAAACTGGAACTGAACACCTTCCCTCTTCAGTCACGAAACGACAGATGATCCACTGATGTAGACGACTGTCTCCGTGCTGCCAGACTCCATCCGCATGTGGAATCGCTGAGCAAAAGAGGGAGAGCTGTGAAAGCCATGAACACAAACGACGGACCAGATGACCAACACAGCATTTAGGAGCGCACCCGCCATGACAGCTTTGCACCAGGACCTTTGGGCCCAAGACAAGCTCCTCAAAGCCTGTGAGATCCTGAGAGCGTGACAACACAAATGACAAGACTTCTTATCAGGACATTTATCATGTAACTCAATGCCTTTGTGAAAAACTAACGCTGGGATAGTTGTAACACACATGGTTTCACACACACCAGCATGACGAAACTATTTACTGGCTGCCATATCACTATAGAGAGAAAACAAATGCAGCAAAATTGAGAAATCTTTGGAGGACTTCACTGAACATTTATTTACCTATAGCAGAAGTTGTCACACTGCAAAATATGATATTCTGTTCTATACTTTTATGTTTACATTTATTAAAATATAGCTGTGTTTCTTGTATTAATTATTACAAAATGCCATTATTTTACATGAAAAAGTTAATTGTATTGACAAAATATATTAGTTTATTAGATCAGATAACATTTTAATCTGTCATATGGTCATGTGATATTGAACCTCACCTATGGGGCATGTTGTCACATTTCACTTCCATTCTTTCAGAGTGAAACAAGAAAAAAAGTATACAGTAATGAAACAAAACCACATAATTGTACTAGACTTGTGCAATTGGAGGCAAGTGTGGATGAGAACCCAAGTGCAGTTTATTACAAACAAAACATGAAACAAAAACATGGCATGAAAAACTCAAAATGAAGACTTTAACTTGACCAAGACATGAGACACATGAGGTCTCAAATACAATGACAAGTATACTATGTAGAGTAATGACAAGACAAATGACACCTAGGAACAATTAACAGATTATAAGACACATGGCAGGATCACATGACAAGGAATCACATGACAATAACATGAAACGTGACCAAGACGTGTGAAAAAATAAAAATCTGAAGTAAGTGGATTTACACAAACTGAGAATGTAAAAGTGTTAGGCTGTGTCCTGCTCTCCACTTTAACAAACAGTAAATTATGCATATAATTACAAATAACTAACCCTAAATAAAACCATAACTCTACAGCAAGTACCTACATGCAGGTAAAATATTACTCAGTTCATATTTGATTAAGTACAATGTTAATACGTCACATGTGCCCGCGCTCTCCCCTACTTGTTGAACACCTACAATACTGAAATGTGTTGGATTTGAACTTGGAAAACAATATCAGAGAACTGTTGAAAGTTGTGGCACAAAGTTTTTAGTTTTTGTGGATTTGCTAATTATCCAATGGGCTCTATGCACGGCGTTATTTCCGGTGAAGGATTAAGGATCGATAACTTCCGCCGATCAAGAGTCCAATGCAATACCGAGAATTTATATTGAATTTTATACTCCATGGTTATACTAATGAAACGTTAGTCACAAAAACAGATAAAACAGACACCCCTCGTTGTGTTTATGCTTCTTTTTAAAAGTATATTAAATAAACATAACTATATATAAAATTACATCTAAACGTATACGTTTCGTTTCAAAGACGGGAGGACAGTAAATATTGAAGACTCTGCCATAATCCCGTTCCCTATCGTAGTCACTTCGAGTTACGTCAGAAGTGACGGAGATTGGGGGTTTCGCATAGAAAGCCAATCCTCTTCGAGTATTAAAACACGAGCCAATGGCATGCAATGCCTTGGGGCTGCGGAAATTTGCATAGCGTACTCCGCCCTACTCCGTGAGTATAAAAGGAGGAAGTGAACGCAACCGCAGTATGTTTTCGCTTCGGAGCCAAGAGAACCTCTTCACTCCTGAAAGCACTGTTCAAGACTCTTCGAGACGAGCGTCCTCTTCAGTGTTGGTGTGACGGCGGTACCCAGCGAGATTCTGCATCGCCTGCGATCTGAGCAGTGGTCTGCCAGACTTTGCGCTTCTCCCTGGTCGCTTCAGCGCTGAAAGAGTGAATTTCCTCCTCTCATTGAAAGAGCTGCACGCGCACGTCTTTTTAAAGACGGTTCGCCCGTGCTCTTCTGGGTGTGATTGATTTCTGTCGTCATCTGATGGTCACGATCGCTGCTTTGTATGCCTGGGCATTTCAGCATGCAGCAGCAGCGTTCGTGGATGACTCATTTTCCTTCTGTGGGAACATGACCATCTCTACACTGAGGTCGAGACTCAATGATCTCACTTGAGTGAGAGTCCCGGTCCCCCCCGCTCGATCGGTTTCCTCCATAGGGGGCCCGTCGACCCGGGGACCTGGTGATTTACGGTGATGGTGTGGGATAAGCCCCGACGATTCCTCGGGCCACACCTCCCGCCTCAGTGCGAGAGCCAGCGAGCGTTAGTTCGATTCAGTCGGTTGCTTCTTCGGTGGCACCGGCTGCTTCGGGCAGCGCTCCAGATGATGATGCGATGTCGATCACAGCATCACTAGGCGGGCTTGACTCCTCGGGAAGTGAGGATGCGGCCGCGTTGCCTCCCTCGGGAGCGTCAGCGCCGCCGTGTCTGATCCCGCGATGATGGCCGTGCTATCTCGGGCGTCCGTGAGCATCGGGTGGGGGTGGAACTCCGCCCCTCCCCGATCTCTCGCGGCTGAATAATTGGTTTTTGGGTAACGCTGCCGCCTTACGGCCACGGCCAACCCCAATTTCCTTTTTTCCCCGAGTTGCATGCGGAACTGACACGCACTAAAAAATAAATAAATAAAAAAAAAAAAAAAAAAAGCGTGCTTAGTTCCCCGCCCTTCCTCCCCTCGGCGATGCGGCTGTCTGTGGGTACGCTGGGGCTCCCCCGGTCAACCGGCGGTTGCTCTCAGATGCCCCTCCAAAGCCTATGGGTTCTCGTCGTCTATGGCGGCGCGATTCTGTAGAGCGGCGGGACAGGCAGCCTCCGCCCTGCATATGATGAGCACCTACAAAGC